GCTGCACCTTCTCAGGCCCTTCATCATGTCCTAATCTCGATTTGAAATTGAAAATTTGGTCACTTGACTGAGTGGTCTTGCACTTCCCCTCATGCATTCTAACCTCTCACCCTCACCAACTCCCCATATCATCTCAATGCACTTTGAACCAACTCATATCCCTGCAACCAGACCCTTAGGCCTTTCATAAACTCAACACCAACTCATGCCCCTTTCATGCCCATTCATCCAGTATACACTATAAACATAATAGATGAGCTATGCAGTAACACTGCCAAAAGAGATCACAGAAAGAACAAATTGTCATAAAATAAACAGGGCTAAACAATCCCAAACACAATGTACCAGAAGTAAATTGTGCAGTTCTATCACATCCAGTTGGGAATGGTGGTAGACAATTAAACAACGAACAAGAGGTGGAGGCTCCCACTTGCTCAGCCTCAACAACAGAGGAGCCCAGCACACCAGTGCAAAAAAAGTGCATCCATCTTGGCCTCCACCTGAGGTCCCCAGCATCGCAGATGGCAGTCTTCAGCTAACTTGATACCAAGTAATGGCTGAAGACAGCAGATAATGTAAAAGCTTTAGGCTCTGACAAGACTCCAGCAATAGCACTGAAATCTTATGCTAGCCATAGCACTAGCCAAGCTGTTCCATTACAGTTACAACACTATCTACCATCTACTTGACTATGTGGAAAATTGCGTAAGTATGCTTTGTGTACAAAAAGCACGATGAATCCAACACAGGCAATTAGTGACCCAGAAGTTAAATCTTGATCATTAGTAAACCAATGACAAGGGTAGTCAATAGTGACATCAAGCAGAACTTGCAAAGGAATAACCTGATCAATGAGTCAGTTTGGGTTCCACCAGGACACTGAGCTCCTGTCCTCAGTATAGCCTTTGACCAAACATGGATAAAGAGCTGATTAGTAAAGGTGAGATGGAGTGATTGCCCAAGATATCAAGGCAGCATTTGGCTGAGTATGGCATGAAGGAGTACTAGTAAAACTGAGTCAGTGGAAGCAGGGGGATAATTCTCCACTGGTTAGAGTCGTACCTAGCACAAAGGAAGATCGGTGTGGTTGCTGGAGGACAATCATCTCAGTCCCAGAACACCAATGACAAGATCCTCAAGTTAGTTACAAGGCCCAAATATCTTCAGATAGCTTTATCCATGACATCATCTTCATCACAATGTCAAAAGTGGGACACTCACTGACCATGCCATAACATTTAGCATTTACTATTCACAAATTCATCAGGCAATGAAGCCATGGAGTCTGGATGCAGCAAGATTTGGGCAGCATCCAGATTTCGGCTAATAACTTGCAAGAAAACTCTGCAAAACACAAGTGCCAGGCAATTAAACTTTCCCAAAAGTGAGAATCTAATCATTGCTCTTTGATGTTCAATGGCATTACCGTGGATGAATCTCTTCAGCAACATCCTAGGATCTACCCGTGGTCAGAAACTGAACTGGACCACCATACAAATACTGTGGCTATAAAAGCAGGTCAGATGCTGGGGAATTCTGTGCAATAACTCACCTCCTGTCTTCCAATGCCTGCCCAGCATCCACGAGAGTGCAATGCAAAACCTGCCATTTGCCTGGATTAGTACAGCTCCAACAACACTCAAGCTTGACCTGACCAAGGACAAAGTATCTCACTCAACTGAAACCCCATCCTCAACCTGCAACATTCATGCCACTGAGAGTCATTGTTGGACAGAGAGTATCATCTACAAGATGCACTGTGGCATCTCACCATGGTTTCTCTAACACCTCCCAAATTTGCAAATTCCTCGACATAGAAGGACCAGGGCAGCAGATACATGGAAACATCTGCAATTTCCTGTTCTTCTCCAAGGCAGAGACTATCCTGGCTTGGAGCTATACTGTCGTTTGTTCACTGTCACTTGGTTAAAAATCTCAGAACTCACTTCCTAACAGCATTGTGGGTGTTTTTTGGAGTCTGAGCTCTGATTCAAGCATACTTAATGAGCTTATCCAAATCTACAATAAAAGGTTCTTACATCTGTTTTCATCTTGACTTTTGTCACTGTCTCAAAATTTAGACACAGTTTAATTTGGCATTATGGCCGGCATGGACTAATTAGACCAAAGAGTCTGTTTGACTCAATGTAGAGTGTTTGAAACTTACGTTATTGATATTTTAGTAGTCTGCCTGAATGACACTTTTACAGGTTGCAGAAACAGTAGTCTTTTCTCCTCAAAGGAAGATTAATGAACGGTTGCTTTTTCATTGTTTCTGAGCAGTTCTAGACATGTCGTTCTGCAGATATATCTCACTGGTTTTACACACGTCCATTGAATGAATAGGCATAGTGAGGCCATGAACTGGCATGGGCACAATGACAGGACACTTCATTGGGGAGGGGGGGGGGGTGAGTGTGATGTGTGCAGGCACAAGTTGGAATGGAAAAGGCATAATAGTCATGGAAGAGGCATGGCAGAAATGGCTAAGCACTTTTGAACGTACTTTTTTAAAAGGTTCCTAAATCGAGACTACGGTTCTCTACTCCTTTGAGAAGCTGTGAACCACAAGTTATGCAGGGGCCGGCTTGACAATGCAGAAATAGTGGAGGGCTGGTGGATGTTAGCTCCTGCAATGCAGCCAGCCAGGCTGGGCTCACTAGCTATGCCTTATCCAGAACTTATAGCACACTAATTAATCTAAAACAAGTAACTAAGAGTAACCAAGTCACTACATTGACATCATGCTGGAAATACTTGACTTCCATATTAATAATAATGAATTTTTTTTTACTGTTAATGTTGTACAGAAAGAAGGTAATGTTATGATTATTAATAGCAAATAACAACTCCAATGGTTTTCTCTTTCAGCATCCATCATTTCTGCCTTTGTAGAAAATTTCAATTTAGTCTCAATGTTTTAGAGCTTTAATGGAAATAAAATTAAGTTGACATACAAAGAATAGTGATATATAATTAGCTTCACTAAAAGCTCCATCAACAACACACCAAAATAGAAATACAGCATGACTCTTAACATTCTACTTCAAAACTAGAAAACTGCAATTGAATACCAGTCAATCGTCTCTCTGCATTCACAGGGGAAATAAAACTGTTCAGCAATTAAATAAGGCAATTTTAAAAACATTCTTGTCTGTTTGTGGTGCTGATGCCATTTACTGAAGATTGCTCTGTCAATAAAGAATCAGTGGAGCTGTATATCAGAGAATAAGTTGGCACTGGCAACTGGGGCCAATTGGAACATGTGGAAAGACTACTTAATTCCTTCAAATCAGATTTAGACTTCAGTAGCTGAATTACAGCTTTACGTGAGCTCCATGGTGTACAATGGTGATGAATTTTCAAGGTCCCTGGAAGACAGGAAGGAGAGGAGCTCCTAAACACCAGCACAAGATGATGTGTGATTTCAAAGCACCAAGCTTGGTGCCAGTAACAGTGAGCAGCATGGGAATTGATGGGTAGGTCAGGAATGCCACGGTTGCTCCAATTCAAACCAATCAAATAATTTGGAGCTTTTTGAAGGGGTAGGTGGGTGAAGTATTTAAAAGGGTGGACAGATTTTAGACATGAGAGTTTGCCCTGACCCAGATGCCAGTTGTCTGGTTCCCCTATGACACTTGGCTTTTCTTTGGTGAAGTGGGAGGTTTTGGCGTGGTTAGCAGATCACTCCCTTTGAATGAGGAGCAACGTCAGTGATGGCTACTGTGGGGTTTCTACATGAGTTTCTACATGAGTATCCACACCTCAGCCAACCCACTTTCATTTCTTGCTCAAATGGGTCCTAGTGGACATGAAATTTATCTATCGAGTGAAAAAAAGGGCTCATCCTGGTGAAAACAAACTTCAAATCAGTTTTTCCCAAAAGGCAGGCTTCTGGCTTAAAAACAAAGAAGCTCCTATTTCCATCACCACGGTGAAAATTCAGCTCTTGTTTTCAGTGGAAGGCAAAAGCTTGCTTGGATGGGAGGGAAAAAGGGTAAAGTTGAAATTACTCCACTTGCTTGGGTAAGAAATGTTTGAAGAAACATAGAAACATAGAAGTTAGGAGCAGGAGGAGGCCATTCAGCCCTTCGAGCCTGCTCTGCCATTATTCACCATCATGGCTGTTCATCCAACTCAATAGTCTAAATTCTGCTTTCTCCCCATAACCTTTGATCCCATTTGCCCCAAGTACTATATCTAGTCGCCTCTTGAATACATTCAATGTTTTGTCATCAACTACTTCCTGTGGTAATGAATTCCACAGGCTCACCATTCTTTGGGTGAAGAAATGTCTCCTCATCTCCATCCTAAATGGTCTACCCTGAATCCTCACACTGTGACCCCTGGTTTTGGACACACCCTCCATTGGGAACATACTCGCTGCATATACCCTGTCCAGTCTGTAAGAAGATGTTAGCCAATTCTACATTAGGTTCTCTCAAAGGTTCCTATCAACATGTAATGGAATTAGTTTACAGAAACCGAACGTAATACAGTGAAAGAAATGAACTGAATTGGGAAGAAATGAGCGCTGCAGGACAGAGGAGAGAAGAACTAGAAAATTAGTACTGGTGCATACTGATTCAGATTTTCTCAGTTTTAATGACTGTCATTTAGTAACCATCGCCCAATATATCTTGTTACATGTTTTACAAACTTTACACACCTGATGAATCTCAAGATCCTAAATGGTAACTATTGTGATTTCAACTTTACAATGACGCAAGTTCCATGAGGTAATATTAATTTAACTTCACGAATGTGAGGTGAGGTACCAAAGCAGTGAGAAGCAATCTATCCTCTTCTTTCTCCAAGATACTTTTGCTTTGATATGATTCAAATTTTACTGTATGCTTTGCAATTACTGGAATATTTCATACGTTATAATCTGGATTATCACCATAAGTCATACAATAAAAGCTTAAAATGAACACATTTTAAAATAGTATTTTTGCAAATAGAACTGCTCAGTCCTTCCTCTCCTTTTACGCACTTACTTTTGCTGAACTGGGACTGATGAGAAGATGGCTGCTTGTTTTTATCTGGAGAATAACTTCTGCTGCTGATACTTGATCCAGAACGGCTGTGAGGAGATTCTCTTCTGGAGTATGGTGCTTCTCTTTTATGAGGAGAACGCTCTCGGACATGCGGAGAGGAATAGAAATTCTTCCTTCTGAAGTTATCCCTGTGAGAACATTGTCAAATATTCTGTTTAAAACGCTTTGTTACGGTTCCACAGTGCACTCACTTTAAATCTCAAAAACAAAAGCTCACCTACACAAGTATCTAATAGCATCCAACATCACTCAATCTTCCACAATAATATATGCAATGCCATTTAATACTCGAAAAAATTCTTTTGTACATGCGCATCCTCCAAGTTCATGATGCCCACACATAGAAGTTTCCTCATCACAGACAATTCATTGATAATACCCTACATTTTGGAATAGTTCATCCTTTGATTCACGCCATAGGATATTTAAGAGTTAATGTAAGTATTTTTAGCATGATGAAATCCATTTCCAGCATTCTGTGAGAATGTAACGTTCATTCATTTCCAATGATGCTCACGCTTGACAATTTCAAAACGTTAATAACATTCAACTCCGACCAGCAAAGACAGGGGTCAGTTGCAAGGTTTTCAAAAGGTCATTCAGGGCATTTCTGGTGTCACTGAAGAAGAGTTCAAAGGAACAGGTAAGTGAGACAGTCAGTTAGTTGGGGAAGCTGATAAGGACTCCACGTTAGGGAATATTGCTGTTAACACCGCTGCTAAAAAGTATAGCTTTTGTGTAGTGAGGACTTGGGGGAAAACTCACTTCAATAGTTCAGTTCAGTGAGGGGCTCAGGATGTCCTAGGGTTGCTAGGAGGAAGCAAATGCTGAAAGTGGGGTTGGAAAGTCAACAAGCTATGTCTGACAGATACAACTGAGCAACACTGGAACTCAGAAAAATCAAGGTGCTATGCTACAAGGCAGCTATTTCGAGACCACAGTTTTTAGAACCATAATCAGAAATGGAACTTAGGTTACTATTACCGAATACCCAGGAGTGTTTTGAAACTTGAAAATCAGGTTTTGCATTTGTTAAGCCATGCAGTACAATGCTGCTTTCTGGAAACAAGGAAAAAAAACTGGGAATTCAAGACTGACCGACACCAAAAATCTTTTTCAGGGAATTTTTGCCCGGCAACAGCTCTCTGATTGGTTGAACTGCAGAGTGTCTAAAAAGTTGTAAGTGCCAAGAGCGGCAAAGAATGAAAAGCATCAGAGCCTGCAGATAGACAGCACCCCTCTCCATCTTTCCACGTTGGGGAAAAGACAGAAAACACAAGAAAGTTTAAAAGAAAGAATTCATACAAGAAAAGACCTGATCAACAATTGCATTGAAGGACAAGTGTCAGTGTAGAGACAGCAGTGTCTCATCACTGCAATGGTCAAATGGGCTGAGAGAGAAAATAAGATTTTTCCACCTTGTGTCATACAGCCATAGAGTTATATAGCACAGAACAGACTCTTTGGCCCATCAAGCCAACCTGTTTACACTGAACCTACTTTCCAGTACATGGCCTTGAATGTTATGACACTTCAAGTACAATGTATTTTTTTTTTGAAAAGGCAGGGAGGCGTTCTGCCTTCACTATCCTCTCAGACAATGCAGTCCAAATTCCCATCACCCTCTGGGTGAAAATGTTTTTCTTCAAATCCCTCTACATTTCCTACCCTTCACCTTAACATTATGCCCCTCGTAAGTGATCCTCCAACTAAGAGGAACAATTGCTTCTTATCCTCCCTCGCTATGCTCCTCATAATCTTATACACCTCAATCAGGTCCCTTCTTAGCCTTCTCTGCCCTAAAGGAAACTAGCTGAGTCTATTCAGCCTTTCATCATAGCTAAAATGCTCCAACCCAGGCAACATCCTGGTGAATTTCCCCCAGTGCAGTCGCATCTTTCCTAGAATGAAAAAATCAGAACTGCACATGGTACTCCAGCAGTGGCTTAACCAAAGTTTTGTCCAGCTCCAACAAAACCTCAATGTTCTTATAATCTATGCCTCAACTGTATTGTTAAGGGTTCCATATGCCTTATTAACCTGTCCACTACCTTCAGGGACCTATGGACAACCCCCCCAAGATCTCTCTGTTCTTCTGAGCTTCCAAGTGTCCTGCCATTCCCTTGTCTTGTCACTTCATCTAAAATGCATCACCTTAATGTTTTCAGGGTTAAATTCCATCTGCCACTGACTTGCCCATCTGACCAGCCCTGTCAATATCTTCCTGTAACCCAAGACCGTCTTCTTCATTATTAACCACTGAACCAATCTTCGTGTCATCAGCAAACGAACTTATCATTCCCCCACCACACATTCTGACCTATAGCGTTTATACAAATCACAAACAATAAGGGACCCAGCATCAACCCCTGTGTTACGCCATTGGGCAGCTGCCTCCATGCACACAAACAACCTTCTGTCACCACCCATGGTTTCCTACCACAAAGCCAATTTTGGATCCGTCTTGCCAAGTTACTCTGGATCTCATGTACTTTTGACCTGCTTTATTAGTTCCATGTGGGATCTTCTCAAAGGCTCAGCCGAAATAAATATATCAACTACAGTACCCTCATACACGTACCTGATCACCTCCTTGCTAAATTTAATCAAATTTGTTAGACATGACCCCCCTCTGACAAAGCCATGCTGACTATCCCTGATCAAACTTTCCCTCTCCAAGTGGAAATTAATTCTCTCTATCAAGTTATCCCCAATCATTTCCCAACCACTGATATGAGACTAAATCTTCTGTAAATTCCTGATTTATCCTGACCATCTTGTATGGTCTGGATTTTTAAAATTTTTATAATACCCCCTCTATAGCTTCTTTTCTACCCATTGTACATGGTAAACCATTTGTCTTTTGCCTGTCTTAACTGTGATTGAGTGTTTGTTTGGTGTATTGAAGGGTAGAATTTAAGTCCCATAAATTAGAAATTCTTTCGTTTCACGGTTCTGGTTAAAGTTATGAGTTAAAATAAAGAGACTGTTTCTGAAGAAACTTGACCTGATTTGCTCTTGTCCTGGGTAGGCAAAATGGTTATTTTTGTGGTGTATTTGTATTTTAGACATTTTGCAATTTGTGGACCCATGGGACTTAAAAATTCGCACACTTTCCCAGTTAAGTTGTGACAGAGTACAGTTTTCAAGCAAATGTGACATAGTATAATTTCTTATGAATTTTGATGAGATTTGATGACCCACTTTGTCACTAACGGCTGGCGGAATTGTTAAGAAATCCATGGACTCTCTTTTGATCATATTTGTTATTTGGTATGCACTGTGGGGTTTCAATCATAGTCTATTCTCCATATTTATTCAGGGTTTTAGAAATACTCCATATATTTTTGATTGTATTACTGGTCTAACATTGTATATTAAAGCTTGTTGTTGTTTGTTCAAAATGAAGATTCTTATGGATTTATTCTCTTAGTCCCCTAGATTTCACCCTTTGTCTACTTTAAAATAAATGTTATGGTCCCTCGTTAGTTTGTAACCTAAATGGCTCAGGATTGCAACAATTTACAGTCATGAACAAAAACAAAAAAGATGCACTACATCTAAATGGGTCTTCCATTTACTGACACTCTTGCATCAAAGCTAAAATTATTTGATTAAAAGCATATTTATTCCAGAAATTTTGTTTACCTGCACTTATTTCTGTTGTACTACCATGTTCAGGCTGAATTCCTTGGGGTTCTTCAGGCCCTACAACTACCCACAGACCTCACAGATAGTTACATAACATGTGCAAACCTACTCACAACTGGCATTCTATTTTATCAGAGCATGATGTTATCCCGTCCCCAAAAGTCCAGACTTTCCCAGTTTCTCAAACGGCTGACTGGATAGCAATCAGGAGAAGAAACCCTAGCTTATTTTTCATATGAATCGTAGCATTAACTGTTGTCCCGTGATGAGCTAATTTGACACACAATGGAGATGAAGCTTGTTAATTTCTGATACTTTATGCTTCATTGGGCTGTGACGTTCCTTGTTTGGAAATATGTGACAAACATTTCAAACCTCAAGAGGCAGATCTGAAAAAAATACAAGGAGTTACTATTTTTGAATGCTTACTTGTATGTTTACAATTATTGTGCTTAGCTCCCATCAATAGAAAAATGACATTGAAGCATATCGCAATATTTTCATTTTTCTAGCCAGTGACTGGATTCTTTTTGCCCTTTCATCCCTGTCTTGTTAAGTCCTCCAGATCCTCCTTTTCTTCTCTGTAATTTGCTTATTTTATTGCATTGCATTTACATTGTTTAAATCTTCTCCCACGCATGTACAAGCATCATCTCATAACCACCATCTGATGGTTTATGCCAAAGAAGGCTGTAGTATGCTGACAGTTTGAAATTCCAGGAAAAGCCTGTACAGCTTCATTTGAAAAAAAAACATAGTTTTGGCACCACTCTTGTTCTGGAAGCATCCCTGCTGGCTTTTAAATCACATATTTTATTGCTATCGTATTTTGAAAAGGTTGAGGCTACCAAGCAATGTTATCCACTGCTGGTTTGTGATTGATTTTCTGCGTTATTTGTTTCCCCTTTTGGTGTCTTTGTTGACACCCTCTTCCATTTTTGTGGCTCCTATTTTGACAGTTTGACATTTCTTTGCTTCCCAATTCTACTTGATGCAAGGTTTGTTCCTTTTGTAAGGAGAGGTCTATTGGCAACAAGTCAACTGGCTTAGAAAGTTTGTGAAACTAAGTCTTATAACCAGCAGGATCTGTTCTATTTCCAATTACAAGTCATCTTGAAATGTTGCAAGTATAGTAGCTTATATCTGTATCGTGCCTTTTAACATAGACAAATTTCCCGAGTTGATTCATAGAAGGATAATCGGAAAAGAACATGGAAGTCAATCCAAAGGACAGTCCAGGAATGGCGATGAAATAGGCTACTAATCAAAGTTCTGTGACTGCATATCATGGTCGACATTGACGCCAGTAACACCCGTGCCCTTCTCACCCCATTATATCTTTTAAAGTTTTATCATTGACTCATGTTGAATACTCTAACTGCTGCAGTAGTGACACAGTAGTATTTCAATAAATATCATTTTGGCCTATCTTAGGTTCTTTCAGTTGATTTCCAAATTTAAACAACAGTCCTAGCCAGTGGATTCCTTCAGAAATAGGTAGAAACCTGGTTAAGGTGGTTATATAAACTCCAAGAGGTTTTGATGAGACTTGTAAGAGATATAATTTTTCCCAAAATCAAGGTGAGAGAAAAAACCTTCTCAATCAGTAAGTGGATAGAATTTGGAATGCTCCACCAGAGCATACGTGATGGAGGCTGGTTCGATCTAGACATGCAAAAGGAAATTGGACTGTCATCTGAAAAGTGAGAACATAGAAGATTACGTAGATAAGGTGAGTTTATACCATGGATCTTCGTGAACTGAAAGGGCTGATGGTGGACCTGCAGAGTTTGGACCACATAAAGCAGGATGTTCCATGAGGCAGTGAATCCAGAAAGAAGCATCTGCTTTCTTGGGCAAGTTGTCGCTATTCTGAACAAGTGGTAGAATGCTTCTCCCAGTCAGTACTGCTGTACTCCAAAATAAACTTCAGTGTCTTTCATGCTTTTTCTTTGACGTTGTGTGAAATGTTAGCCATTTTATAAAAGAAAAAAGAGCACACAGAGGATGAAACATTTATCAACTACCTTCCAAAGTGTCCAGTTCATCAACATTAAATGTTTTAGCTGTTTTGACTCAATGCTTACTTCGTTGACCTCCTTATGGATAGGAACATACCTGCTCAAGTCTCAAGCTTTGCTTCTTTCGTTTGGAACAGCTTATTTATAAAGCCTGATGACTGCCCTTAACTGAAGGTATTAGAAAAAATTATTCATTTGAATTCTACTACGAATTAATAAATTTACTGATTGTTGATTTATCAACATGCTCGCTACTTTTGCTGTGAGATTGATGATTCCATGAAGTGATCTTTAAATGCAGGAATGTTGAATAATTTGTTGTCATTTGTATTTAACAAATAACTACAGTGCAAAAAGTAATATGTCACCACACTGTGGTGTCATTTTGAGTTAAAGATGATATTAGGATATAACCAGAAGATAACAAAAAATGAAGTTCCTTCTTCTGGCAATCTGCTCGACATTGTGGAGATCCCCCCACTCCCCAAAAGGCTCTGGGCCCACCAACGTCCCCCCATCACTGTCAATTCCAGGAGTCCCGCTACAGGGCCACCATCACCCCCACTGTTTGAGGAGAACCACACTGGGCCTACCACGCCAGTGCGGATGCAGCTGCCGCTCCCGCCGATTCACCAGGAGTACTGATTCAGATCTACCGTATCACTGCAGTTGAAGCCCAACATCCCAATTCCAACGCTGACCGCATAGGCCACCCTGCTATTGCTGCCATCTTGAAAGTCGATGCTGCTGCCACCGCCTCAAGTCCTGCGCGGGTGGGCCCACCAACGTTGAAGTTGCCATGCTCTGGCACTTCTCTCGCTGCTGGGCCCACGCTTGCTGCTGTCATGAGCTCCCTAAGCGCTTGCCCTCCCTGTAGAGCGGAATCTTGCCGCTGCTACCGCACAGCATGGGAGGCCGGGCCCACTCTCGCCCTGCTCAACTTAGCTAAAGGCTTCAATGAGAAAATAAAGGAATAAAACAAAAAGAACAAAAGTAACAAAAAATAAAAAGAAGAAAAAACAACAAAGAAGGCAGATGGAAGCGGACAAGCCCCAGGCCAGGAGCTCGAACGCAGCGCTGGTACTCTGCCACCATCTTTTGTGGTTTCGTAAATTAGCTCCATAAATTAGGTAACTTTTTCTTTGTTTGAGGCTCCAATATTTGTACTTTAGGCAGTTAAATTTGATAACTGGTCATGTCTAGAATATACATTTTCCATATATTTCCACCTGGAAATACATCAATACAGACACTACAATTTGTCAAAGTCACAAATTAATCACATTATTCTCACAAACACTTCATGCTCCTATTTTGAGGATGCCAAAACTGGCAGCGTGCTATGCTTTTTTTAAAAAAAAGCAGATTTTGAAATTTATTTTTAATAACTATAACAACAATAGGTTTTATAAATCGGAACTTTTCAAAGTAACATTAAAATTATAATAAAAACATCCAACTGGTAACAAACACACAGTGAAAAACAATGCTGCATCATCTGAAAAGGTTAACAGTGGTAAGCACTATTTCTAGGAAACTAATCATTCATAAAGCATTCATTAATAGGTGAACAAAATCACAAATATTTTACGTTTCGATATAAAAAAAAGCTAGATCTTACCTAATAGTCATAGCATATCTCTTTGTCTTCGGTCCTCTACAAGAAGGAAAAAAGATTGTTCAAATAAAAATGGCCTAAAACTTACAGCAAAAATTTCACTTTTTTTCTACATCAGGTAGTCCTACTAATTCAAGTCCTGAAAATTACATTATTATAGAGATGCAGACATAAGAACTTTTTTAAAATCTATAATTAATAATTGCTTAAGAGGAATAATGTGTGAGAGAGCATTTGGCACATTATCTTTCTAACTCTTGGGCCTGTGTTTACATCCTGGCCAAATTCATGGAACGTAGAGCACTGCCAACTCGAAGGGTCTTAAAGAATATGTTTAGGCAGTATTAACACAATTCCTAATGGGCTCAACAATTGTCCAATAATTTTAATCTAATTCACAATCATACTAAGAAAGGTGATATAAATAATTGGATGGAAACTGGAGTCGTAAGCGTGCATTTCTGAACAGGGCTATATGTTGAGCATTTTCAGTACCCATGTAATTATACGTATCAGTGGTGATAAAAGATTACAGAGACTTTACAAAAAGTGCTACACTCCTTCATTCTCATGGACACCCAATTTAGAACTTTCCTTCATCACTGAAGCTCAACAATTCACACCTTCAAATGTGGTTGCCATGAGATGGCACCAAGAGAGACCATGGAGAAAACCTTAGGTATACTCAACATTATTGACAGACACAGAGGTAGAAACCATGGGAGAAATTGACGACAAAAGAAAAATGAGTTTATTGCACATGCTGTTCTTGGTGTGAAAACTGTACAGTCATTTGTGGCAAAGAGGATATATCAATGTATTAAAAATCACCACATACTGCTGATTTGCACCACTGTACTCCAAGCCTTGCGAAAGTTGGAGCTCTTCAAAATTTCCCCAAGAGTTCCAAAAATTGTTGCATTTGTGCTTTATGAACAGAGAACAGCACAGCATAGGAACAGTCCCTTTGGAGAACCATGTCTGCGCCAACTATGATGCCATTCTAAACTAATTCCATCAGCCTGCACGTGGTCCTTAACTCTCTATTCCCTGTTTGTTCATGAGTCTGACTAAACGCCTCTTAAATGTTGCTATCGTATCTGCTTTTGCCACATCTCCTGGCAACGTGTCCCAGGCACCTACCTTCATGTAAAAAACGTGTCTTGCATATCCCCTTTAAACTTGCCCCATCTCACCTTAAACCAATGCTCCCATAGTATTTAATTCTCAATTGAACTCACCTGCCCTGGAGATGTGTCATAACATATCTGAACAAGTTGCTTAAAAATAAATTTAAAGTACCTCTTTATTGATGAGATTTTGGTTCATAAAATGCCACGTAACCTCCCTGGTTCCAAAAGGAAAATATAGCGTCTCGTTCCTGTAGGTATTAAGCTGTTCTTAAAGATGTTTAACTTTTCAAAAAAAATTCTTTGTTGTCTGCCCGTTTTAATCTTTCATTCTTTTCCAATTTTCCTTTCCTCTCTTTAAATTTTGTAATTGTACCGGTTATCCCTCTAATTCACCATATTTACTTCTCAGTAATCCCTCTGTCTTAATTTCAATATATAAGCCCTACGGGTTAAAAAGATGGACTATTAGTTCCACCATTCACTAAAATCTAGATGCCTTGCTGCCCATACACTAATCTCAAGATGAATAAGACCATAAGAAATATGAACTAGAGTAGGCCATTCAGCCCCTTGAGCCCTGCTCTGCCATTTGATGGGATCATAGTTGATCTGATATTCTTCAAATCCACTTTCCTGCCCTTTCCCCATAATGCTTGATTCCCCTACTGATCAACAATCTCTCTCAGCCTTAAATATAACAAGTGGGAATGGAAACATGGAAAAAACCATAGGGCCAATTAAGGACACAGTGCAACTCAGCAGTGCTGAAGACAGTACAAAGATGAGGGACAATCAATAAATAGATGTGGCAAGTGATTGACCTGTGCATTCTCGAGAAACATCAGCAGTGTCAAAGCCAAACTGAATGGCCCCTTAACAAGGGGGATGCATGCTATGGGTGGACATTTTATATTATGCTGATACTAACCCACTGTCTTAGGATATTCTGCACTTGAGCACAAAGCATGTCTAAGGCTTATGAACCCAATTCTGCAAACACGTATAATGTAAATATACCCAATTGTTTTGATTAAACTTTTGATCCACAAACTTTGGTCCTTTCTGCCCATGTTTTCCACCTATGAATTACTTGTGACTGAATATCCATGAGTTTGATTTTAAAGAGGATATAGCTGAAGTTAGTATAGTAGTAGTCAATAATCGATTTTGCCACTGGTTAAAGGATAAGTTTATCTCTAATTAAATAAACAAAAAAAAAGCTTATTTATAGTTTGAGATTCAAATTAACCATCCTGTTGATTCAAATCGCCATTTTTACATTTGTGAAGGCTTGTGGAGTAGCGACACTTGATTACCAGCACACTCCTCTCATCAGAGTCATGACTCTGAAAATTAAAGACAAAACCATATCAGGTCCTGGATCTACTCTGGAAATGTTTGCACTAGTCACTACACTGAAATTCAGCTAGAAAGAAGTATTGGTGGTCTTTCCTTTGTCTGTGACATTTTCTCCCTAACTATAGCATCAAGAAAATCTTGAGTCATGAGCCAAGGGTATTGTATCAGCCTTGGATGATAATAAATCCTGTTATCCCAAGTCCATGGTGACAGCCAATCTGTCCTTGATGTATATTTTGGTTCTATACATACATATAGGGAAAGTAGCTATCATCCTTGTCTCCGTTGTAAAACATGCATGATACAACAAAGTTGATCCTTAGGACCGAGCTGATGGTTTATAGGGCCTGTTCTCAGGATTTCACTGTATGGCTGTGAAATGTGGGTGGACTTACGTCTATCAGGAACAAAATAGCAAATGGGTACACAATGACAGTAATACATCATAAATGCAAGCTGCCAAGTCTGCCTGCACTAATCAGACCAAATTTCCACACTTTGGTGAATGGAGCACATTTGCATGATGGAAATGGTCACATACCAAAAGAACTTCTGTATGGATATGAGCCAGGTCCAAAGCACCAGTAGGACACCCAAGGTTTGATTTCAAGGATACTTGGAAGATGTAACATGAAAGCCCTAAAGAAAGACTTTTGTACCTGAGAGTTACTAGCTTGCAACAAAGGGAGATGATAATACCTCTTGTTGGTTGGCATACATCACCTAAAAGACCATTGCCTACAACAGGTTGGGAACAGGGTCCAATCCCAAAAACCGCTTTCAAAGTTGTTTCACAGTTGTGTGTGTAGGTCTTGAGGTAGAAAATGCCTCTAAAGGATTGATATTCACACCTATCAACAGAGGACCAAGTTATGATGTCTACCACCTAAACAGACAGTCTCCTGCATAGACACCACCTCGTGTAGATGGGTAAATACAAACATAATCAATCTTTGGGTGTGCCTATTAATTATAAGATAATCACCTTAATTGAAATGAACAAGCCATTAAAAAATCCGCAGGTTAAAGCCACCAAGAAAATTATGCCCTAATTCTCAATTTTAAAATGGTTTCTACAAATTAAAAAGGTAGCAAGTGTAACCCCACTGTTTTAAGAAAAGAGACAGTAAGAAAACAGGGAGTCAGAGTTTCTTAAGAACATAACTAGCAGAATACATAAGGGTGACAAGTAGGTTGGAGTATTTGAATTTTCAGAAGGCTTTCAATAGGTCCAGGGAAGGTCAAAGTGGGTACACACTCTCTGAATCCTCCATGGTCATTTCACTTGCTGACCTACTGCTCTGGCCCACCCGGCCTTCCCCACCACACTTGTTTAAGCCCTCCCAAATGACACCATTCTGCATACATCTCTGCCAGGATTTTGGTGCCCCACCGGTTTAGGTGCAACACATCCTTCTTGTACAGGTCTCACTTGACCTGGAAGGCATCCCAATGATCCACATACCTGAAGCCCTCCTTCCTACACCAGCTCATTAACCAAGTATTTAGCTGTACTATCTTTTTATTCCGAGCCTCAGTGGCATGTAACATGGGAAATAATCCTGAGATTACAACCTGAAAGGTCCTGCTTTTCAACTTGCTACAAAACTCCATGAACTTCCTTTGCAGGAACTTATCTCTCTTTCTGCCTATGTCTTCGGCACCACGACCTTTGGCTGCTCAATCTCCCCCTTCAGAATATCGTATGCCCACTTGGAGACATCCTTGACCCTTGGACCAGGGAGGCAACACACTATCTTGGAGTCTTGCTTGCGGCTACAGATATGCCTGCACTCCTACCATACACACCCGATCACCTACACTTCGATCCTCCCTACTGTACAATGGTGCCAGTCGTAGCGTCACTGATCTGGCTGCTGCTTTCTCCTGAGGAGGCTACTCCACCCCCCTCCTCTCCCAACAACAATATCCAAAATGGTCTACCTGTTTGAGAGGGGAATGGCCACAGGGGACTCCTGCACTGTCTGCCTACACTTACTCGTCCCCCTGGTGGTCATCCAACTCTCCTCTATCTGTGTAGCCTTTACTGGTGGTGTGACCAGCTCGCTAGAAGTGTCATCCACGACATTCTGAGCCTCATTGATGCTCCATAGAGAATCCATCTTTAGCTCCAGCCACTCCATGCAGCAAATCACAAGCTACAGCTGAACACATTTCCTACATATGTAGTCACAATGGGAACTGGAAGTATTCCTAATTTCCCAAATACGTATTGAAGGAGGAGCATTCCACAGGGTTGAGTTCTCCTGCCATTTCAATCCTTATCAGCTACAGACAACAATCCAGGAACTTATTACACAAGGTAATCCACAAGTCACCAAACTCAGGTCTCACTCCCTCTCTCTATTTCTAGCAGACTACAACTATATAAATAAGTATTTTATCTCTCTCCAGACACTATTCACTTAGTCTGCAAACTTGGTTCCTGAGCAGCCAAGCCAATATCACTTTTTGAATTGTGACAGCACCTCCAGAACTCCGTCCCTTGGTTCAGCTCCACATTCACATTGACTGACCCCGCTCCTC